AGCACTTGCTTTCCATATATCAGGCTAAGGCTGCATGGAAATGTGGTTTCAGCCGATAAAATTGCAGCACTGTATAAACAGGTTGATTTTGTAGATTAAGTTCTAAGAGAACCAGCTGTCTGGCCTTATGAAGCCATTAATTGCCTGGTGAAACATGCTGATAACATTATGGCTAAGGCTGCTCCTGGTACAGGGAAAAAGATCCACACTTGGGCAGTGCTCAGTGCGGCCCTTCCAACCAAGATGGTGCCGGCGTCCTTCTGGCCAAAGCAGAAGATACAAACCTGAAGAGGCCAAAGCTTCTGGAAAAACCAAAGATGGCCAAAATGAATGGAAAAGAGAGCTTCACACACCATCTCTGTTAAACCATACCGTGTAGGATTAGGGTTGAATTCAAGTGTGCACCCTTGATAAATCACTGCAATCTAGCAGAAAATCGATCAGTCCAGGATCACGAGAAGACCGCTTTGAGTTGCCCTGCTAGTCAGTGGCACCTGTCTGGCCAGCCTTCCTCATTAGTCTCCTGAAGCACTGTGCAGAGCTGTCTTCATCCCCCAGGCCAGACTGGCCGGCTGACCGTGCCCTCACCAAGCTCCCTGCTCACTTTTCCAGCATGGATTTCCAGAATTCATCCTGGCTTGCATATACCAAACCACCTCCAACAGAATACTGCTGTTACTAGGAATAAGGTAATTTCAAAGTGATGAAATCAAATTCTCCTCCATTGTTATCCCCGAACTCCAGAGAACACACTTCTCAAGTTGCTACAACAACTGTAATGCTCTGGCCAAAATGATGCATTAGCAATTAAGGACTCCATCATTCCAAGCAATTAAAATAAACACTTTATTTGAAAACTAATTAATTCTAGCTACATATTTTTCCCATGACAATATCCTATGATTACTTGACTTATGATGTCTAATTATTCTTTATTAATCTAATTTAGCATAATCTTATTATGCTATCTCATTTGGCGCTGGGCCAGCTGAGATGCTTTTGGATTGCCCATTTCTTGCGCAATGGCTAATTCTGGAATATCAGTTACAACACCAGCTTTAATTATTTGTCTCTTCTATCCCTTGTCTTGTCTTCCCACAGGGCAAAGGAACATGCAACTTAATCCACACAGAAGAACTTCTTTATTTTTGTTCTTCAAAATGTCAACGTGAAGCTCATTTCTTTACATTAAAAAAACATGGTGCCCTGACAGGAAGCAAATAGTTTGAAATCTTTAAAAGTTGTGTCTCACAGGGTGAGAAATGGGGCAGATCCCACGAGAGAACCTTAGGATTTGTGTCCATCGTTCTGCCAATGTTCTAGACTAGAGGTGAGGCTTCAGAGCCAGGCCCCCTGGGCTCCCGGTGTCTAGAAAGAGCTCCCCTGTCCATTCCTGGACCTAGATGCAATCCCATTTCTAGAACGCTTCACTGTTGACCAAGTGCTCTACATATATCATCTTGTCTGGGTGATAGCAGCCCCAAGCCATATCAAGGCAATATATTATTTGGGTAATCTCCACAAGGCAGCTAGGAGTTTGTTACATTCCTAAAAATTTAAAATATAAATCTATTATTTTGGATAGACAGCTCAGTATATTTCATCATACTTGGTGATTTCTTGGAAAGCAAAGTGACCTTAGGGTCAGGAGATGTGGAAGTCCAAAGTCCTGGCTCCATCACATCTCAGTTATGGCATTAGATAAATAATTTAGCCTCAGGGGATCTCAGTTTCCTTACATCTCCCAGGGTTATTGTGAAGAAAGTACTTTGCGAATAAGAAAGCACCACACAAATGTGAACTCTTGCTGTAGGGAAAGTATCTCACTTCTAATAACCCAGATGACCAACTTTCACTTGCCCGTGAGAGCAAAGAACACCCACAAAATTCACTGCCTCTCTAGACAGTCTTCACAGCTAAAGGTCAACCTCCTGGTGACAAGCTTTACAAGACCTCTAGAGGTGGAGCCTCTAAGGAAAGATCCCAGCGTGGCAGCATCCGCCACTCAAGACTTGACCTCCACTGAGACAGTCTTGGAGAACCCAGAGTCATTTCCAAGACACAAGTGGGCATCCCACAGCAGGGCTTGAGGACTTGAGGCGGAGTGAGACAGTCCTGAAAACCAATACAAAACTGACCAAGGACAGCCCTACATCACTTATCCAGAAGTCCCTTACGCAATATCCATTAAGAACCAACCAAGTTAGAGGTAAAGATTCCATTAAATATAATATTACTTATAAGTAACATTTTTATAGTTCCATTGATTGCAGAGAATGGCTCAACTGACTGTGGTTTATAAGTATTATCGTGCTATGTAAAATACAAAGAATTCAGAAAAAGTTAGGAAGACTTATATGAACTGATTAAGAATGAAGAGAACAGAACCAAGAGAAAAAGATACTTTTTTACACCCAATGATATAAAGGAAAACAAACTTTGGAATGCTAGGCAGAAATGTGGTCAAGTCAAACTTCACCTACTATGTGCCAAGTGCTGGGGATAAAAAGAAGGCAAAAACCGCCCCTGCCCTCAAGGAGCTCACAGTCTAATGGGGGAGACAAATACGGAATCAGGTTCCTACAAGATACATACAGAGGAGATCGGCAGGAGGCAATTCCAGACAGGAAGGCTCTGGTAGTAGTAGGTACCAGCTGTGGCTTCGGGCTGAAGATGGGCTCTGAGCTGAGTCTTGCATGGACTGATAGAAGTCAAGGAAACCTGGAAGCAAGGGTAAGCAGGGAGAGCATTCCTGGCAGGGGGGACAGCCGGTGCAAAGGCACTGAGAGCGGAGATGCAGGGTCACATGTAAGGAATAATGAACAGGCTGGCATCATGAGACCCCAGAGTTTGTGGAAAGAATATGACTGCAAGAAGATTGGAATGGGGTAGCTAGGTGGCACAGAGGATAGAGCACCGGCCCCGAAGTCAGGAGGATCTGGAGTTCAAATCTGGCCTCAGACCAAACACTTAACACTCACTAGCTGTGTGACCCTGGGCAAGTCACTTAACTCCAACTGCCTAAAAATTAAAAAAAAATTTTTTTTAATTAAAAAAAGAAAAAAAAAAAAGAAGAGGACTGGAAGGGTAGGAAGCAGCCAAGTTGTGAAAAGCTTTAAACGCTAGTGGGCTTCATATGTGGTGCTGGAGATAAGAGGGACCCTGAGGCGTGCTCACCGTAACTTCAGAGGATGGGAGGCAGACAGAGAAACAGGCCTTCTGCGTCGTGAAAGAGGGGAGGACTGGGGGACATTCCTTTGTAGGAAAGGGGGTATGTAGGAGGCGGGCCCTGAGCTGTCACCAAAGAGGAAACCATGACATTAGGCTGATCTGCCACTTGTTCACTGCGTGATTTGGGGCAAGTGAAGCTCTCCAGGCCTCATCCGCTAAATGAGATATTTGGATGAGAAGGTCTTTTCCCATGGTTGGATGCCACAATTCTAAGATGATTCTGAATTGTCAAAAAAAACCCAATTTTTATGTTCTGCACACTGGTTATAAGGAAGGGAAAAAAATCTTTAGATTTCTAGAAATATTTAAAGAGAGATTTTAGAAGAACTGTTAAAAAAAGGTTTAAATGTGTATGTTTTAATTAACTGGAAAATTAGTTTATATGAAACCCTTCATTCCCCAGTCATAAGCCACATGACTCAGTAGGTATTTCCACACTCGTGTGCCCACCTTGAGCCAGTATTCTTTACAGAGTAAGTGTTTGATAAATATTCATTGAATGAATGACCCCCCAACGTGACCAGTTGCTAGAATTGCCCATGCAAATGGCCAGAGACTACTGTAGACATACCCTGGGACCTGCACAGGGCGCCTTTTCCCAGAAACCTTCAAACTTCATTCAATTCAGCAACTATTCATTAAGCTCCAGTTACTAAGTGCGAGGATACAAAGATGAAATCAAACAAAGTCCCTGTGCGCCCTAAAGGAGGTTACAATTTAGTAAGAAAAATGAGGCAGATAAGTTACTGGGATACAAATTTGAATACTCCACAGAGAAAGACGAGTCCAAAGAAAACTTAACATCTTCCCTGTTGAACTATATTCCTGCTTTAACTATTAGATTAAAATTGCTGTTTGCAAAAACGAAGTTTTCAAGGAAAAGGTGCTTTAAGACTTGCGGAAATGTCTTTGAGAAAAAAGCAAAGGCAGCCTAGAATTCCTGGCCTCTCCAAGTGCCCTGGGCCCCAGGACGGATACAAGAAACCCTGTCAGAATATCCCCAATCCTGGACATTCTCAGGAGGGGCCGCAGCTAGGCTTCTCTGCCAAACCCTGCTTTTCCTTCTCTCATCAGCAGTAGGCAGGGAAGGAATCCATATCATAAAGGGCTAGAAAGGGAGAGGTAAGCCTGGACAATTCCCTCGTGTTCTGAGGAAGCCTCCAACTCCCCCACAACATTAGCATAATGGGGACCCGCTGGAGGGAAGAGCTTCCTAACAGAGTGGCAGGGGTGGGGACCCTGCAGCCCCGAAGCCACCCTCTAGGTCCTCGAGTAGGGACTGAAGATTCAAAGGGCTGCACTTGATGACCTAGAGGGCCACACGTGGCCTCCAGGCCACAGGTTCCCCACCTCTGGAAGGGAGACCAAAGCCAGAGAGAAGACGAGCTCAGTCACAGAAAGGGGAGCGATGGGCTGAGAGCCCCCATCCCCCTCCTGGGAGATCACTTCCCCTCAAAGTCCTGGCCCAAACTCTTTGGTGACAACAAAAGAGGTCACTGGGGACACTGAAGGAACGCAGGCTCTGGACTCCCTCTGCAAGCACACGGTGCTAGGGCAGCGGCCGGCCAGCAAGCGGCACAGACGTCTCTTCCGTCCCATTTTTTCTCAAAGGTTTTCCAGCTGGCCGAGGAGGCTCCCCTCGAAGGGGATTCTCCCCTTGGGCGAGCAAGGGCTTTGCAAAGGACTGAGCCCCAGCCTCCCTCCCCCACCCCCCACCCCCAGAGCTGCTCCCGGCCCTGCCCCCCATTCCCTCACTTCCCTCCTCTCACCTCTTCTCTGGACTTGTCGCTAGGGAAGGGGAACGACGGCCCAAAACAAGTGGGGGGCACACGGCGGCTCTGGGGAGCTGCACTGGCATTCCCCATCTGTTCCCATGGCTCTCGGGCCTGGAACATGAAGAATTCTGAGCTCTGGCAAGCAGGGCCTGCTCTTCACCGCCCAGGAGGGGCTCAATGAGGGAGGGGTGAGGGGGGCTCGAAAACGCTTTGAAAAGTATGACAGAGTCTACAAAGATAAGGCGTTCAGGGCTTCGCTCCACTACACTCTTTATCTCAAGACTGACGACACCAGAGGGGGACAATACTTCACAACAGCCAGGGATACACGGAGCCCAGAGGCCTCCAGAGCCGCCTTCTGACGATGCACTCCCGGGCTGCGCCTTCTCTCCCACAGCATCCCAGCCCAGGGCTCTGGCATACAGCAAGCGCTTAATTGGTGTCTGCCTGCTGGGGAGGACAAGGGAAGCTTGAAAGAGTGTTGGGAAATAGAAGAAAACACTTGCTGAAACAAACTTGAAGTGGCTGAGAGGTAGCTGAATGACTAAGTGAAGGAGAGGGAGCCGTGCCTCCGCCGCGCCAAAGGCTGGAAGGCCGTCTCTGGGATCCAAGGCCTGGCTCTCCCATCCATTTGCTGGGAGGCCTTGTGCTTAACGCAAACTCTTCGGTCTTCAGCTTCCTCATCTGTAAAACAGGTACAACGACACTTGTATTATCCAGCTCATGGAGTTGGCGAGAATCAGATGAGATGATGTCTGTAAAGCACTTTGTAAATGGCAGAGCAGTGAGCAGACGTGACCGATGACTCCAAGCATAACCACAGCGCGCATTCATAGGACACGCCAAAGTTCGCCAAGTGCTTTACCAATGCCGTCTCATTTGATCCTTACAACAATCCAGTAGGTAGGCGCTATTACGATTCCCATTTTACAGATAGGAAATTGAGGCACGGGAAAGTTAAGTGACCTTCCCAGGGTCACCCAGGGAGATATGTGAGGAAGGATTTGAACTCAGGGCATCCTGACTCCAGGCCCAGTGCTCCATCCACCGGACCACCCAGTTACCTCTAAGTATAATAATAAAACACTTACATAATCTAGTATTTCTGACTTATGTTTTATTATTTTCTCTGTGTACTTAGTGATATTTAACTCAATGTCTAAATATGAAAAAAGCCTTCCTGTCTATTTCCCCCCTAGCATCATTTACTGGTTTACATCAAGTGCTGTCCTTTAATTATGATTATTTTTTCAATTGAGCATGATACTTTACACACTGTGCTTCGGCTGACAGAGCTCTTCCTCCAAATGGAAGGACGCGGTTATTTGGATAAGTCAGGTTATCAGATGGCAAATCAGTTCTAAACGTCTAACTCTGCTACAGAGACGTGTGAGGGAGCCCCGGTGCTCGGGGGCCTGTCAAATACAACAGGGACTGACGCCGGGTCTGTCTCGGTTCCTCGCAGCTCCAGAGACTCAAGAAGAGTTGTTCATTCTCCAAACTCTCAATGTGGGCACCTGAAGGTGGAAGGAACTCTCCCACGGAAAGGCCTGGGAATATTCTAAGAGAGAGCAGAGGTAGTAGGACAAGAGGCGAGGGATGACCAAAGGAAGATGTGTCATTCCTCTACTGTCTTGTCCCCAAAGGCTCTGTCAGCGTCCCATCTGGTACAGCCCAATGCCGTGGCTCTCGAGGGCCAGAGAGAAGAGATCTCAAGGGGCCGAAGGCCGGGGCATCACTCACACCTGTCTCCCTCCTTCCTGGGGCACAGGGCCATAAGTGATATCAAAGGCCAGCTGAAATCCAACCCCACCTGGACACTGTCATTCCGAAGCAGGAACTGTGCGTCCTCCACAGTTCCCCAACTTGAACTCCCTGCCTCGGAATGTACTGGGAACAGCCACACATTGTCCTGCCTTTGGCGCTGGCAGGAACTGGAGAGTCAATCTTTCTGCAGCTCTTCCAGAGATGTCATTTTCTGACCAGATTCATTAGGAAGACGTTTCCCGGCACCATTATCTCAAACCAGAAAATCCAGATCAAAGCACAACAATCTTACAGCACAGTAAAACTGGTATAAATGTTTAAACATTAATCAAACCATTCCCTTTGCAAAGAAGAATAAATAACTTAAAATGAGCTCATGCTCATAAAACATGGGTGACAATGCAAGAGGAAGGAACACTCATGCAGCACCACCTGCACGCACAACTTTGATCAGGCGCAGTCCCGACGCTCGCTCTGGAGGCACCGGGTAACTGAACGCCATCTTTGGCTTTTCCAACAGAAATAATGGGCACAACGACATCCGCATCGGATTAGGTTCCTACTTTGCTCTAAGATATGCACAACGCTTTTCTCACAACTGTCCCATGAGGCGAGTGACCCAAGGATCACTACTGACCCTTAGAGCAGGGAGGTCACTCGGGCTCTCGGGTTCCCGAGCCAATCAATGCTCATTCTACTCCATCGTGCAGAACAACCAGAGTCAGACGAGGGGGAAACCAACACCCTTAAATATGGCCCATCAGAAGGCCGGTCCAGCGTTCTCTAAGATAACAATCGTTCCTAAAATATTCTCTCCATTTAAAGGTTATTAATCCTCAGATGCCTTTAACCAACTCCTTCCCATGAGCTAACCAGGGAGATGGTGTCAGCATCCAGGGCAGCTGACTCGAGGGCCCAGACGAAGGAATGGAAATCACTGATGAGCAGAAGTCCCTCCCTAAAGAGCGAAGCTGCTGTCACTGCTCAAGATTTATGTGGTACCTTTCCAGAAGGAGCTCAAGCACACTTGCTTATGTTTGAGAAAAAGTTAAATTCCAGATTAAGAAAACAAATTAAATAGTACAAGCCTGCTGAGATATTAAAGATTCCTATCTCATTACCTGCAGCTCATGATCATAAAAGACTGGATAAATGCTAGTCGGTGCCAATAAAAATACACTGCACTTTCCTGTTGAGGCACCAGTGTTGCATTGGGTCGGTCTCACACAAATCCTCACTTGGCATAGATGCAGCCAGTAAAAGTCAGAGCTTCGAGCACTGAGAACGTCCTGGGCACCGTCCTGCCCCATCGCTGATGCCCCTCACGCCCCGTCTGGGGAAGGAGCAGGCCCAGCCCCGTTCTCTTAAGAGAACAAGGGGAGGACAGGAAGCCAGCAACCCCACAAACACCAACGAGAAAACAGCACCACAAACCTGCCCGTCACAGCTGATCAATGCATCTGAGAGTTCAAAGCAGATTCACCATCCATAATTCAAACTTTAGAAAGAAAATAATTTATGGAGGATTAATTTCACCATTTTGAATCAAAGACGTATTTCATAGCTCCTTTCCAAATCCCGTATATTGTTAGGATCCTTTTCCCCTTTGAAGACTTAGTGAATGATTGAAGCTTCTACTTTCTGAGAAACAGATAACACAAGGCTGGTAATCTGACTCTAAGCCACTGGATAAAGGCAGTTTGTTTCCTCTTAGCCCATCTGTCAACACCTCTTCAGTAATTAGTCCTAATTATTACAAAGGGCTAGCCTCCCATTCGCATTATTAAATCAGAAATAGTATCATAGCCAGGTATCTTTCAACGCCTCCCAGGCTGGCGACCTTCGATTTCATTGACTCTTCCATCAGTATCCGCCTTTGGAAGAGCTGAGGCAGTAATTTTAGCATCAGCTTCAAAGATGCAGATCCCACAGAGGAATTCCAGGGATGCACTGAGAAACACACCCACATCATGAGACAGGAGAGAGACACGATTGACCTCTGCATTGTCCTGTGAACCACTGGGACACAAATCCACACATGTGGGCTTCTTAAAATACTGCGTTTACAAGAAGAAGACGAAGAAAAACGCATTCCTTGACTATCCCGATGGAGGTGAATGCTAATTAGAAGTAGGTGCGACACAGGAGAACCAAAACTGCTCTGAAAGAAGGCATTTCCGCTCTCGCCAGTTTTTCACAATTTCACTGACGTTCCTTAACAGACACATGGCACTCTGTGTCATTCACTAGGTCTGTCCTGACCTCGAAAGGAAGAATAGTCATTAAGAAAGCAAGCAATCAACAAGGATTTATTAAGGACCTACTGAGCGTCAGGCACACAGTTCAAAGAATAAAACAATCCCTACTTACAAGACGCTCACATTCTAACAAGGGAAATAATAAGCATGCATATAACTATATATGTGTTTATAACGATGTAGCATGACTGCAGCCTGAATAAATACAAATACACGTACAAAGTAGTGAACTCTAAGGCAATCTGGGAGGGAAGGTACTGGCATCTGGGGCACGGAGTATCAGGACAGGCTCTGTGCAGAGGACGGTGCTGGAGCTGGATGTTAAGGGAAGGGGCGGCGATGAGGTGGAGGTGGAGGTGAGGAAGGTGTATCTTCTAGGAACGGGCCAGCACAAAGGCACAGAAATGGAAAACAGAATATTCTAGGAGGTAAACAGAGAGAAGGCCCAGCTGGCTGGACCACACTGTCCAAGAAAGCCAGAGAACAAGCAGGGGCTGGGCTGTTCAGGGCTTTAACAGCTAAACAAGGGTGCTTAAATTGGATCCTTTTTTTTTTTTTTTTGACTAGGCAATGGGGTCAAGTGACTTGCCCAGGATGACACAGCTAGTAAGTGTTATGTGTCTGAGGCCAGATTTGAATTCAGGTCCTTGTGAATCCAGGGCCGGTGCTCTAGCCACTGCACCACCTATCTGCCCCAAATTTGATCCTTAAGGCGACAGGAAAACACTGGGATTAACTGCGCAAAGGAGTAACACGGTCAGTGACGCCTAGGACGGGCAGAGTGGAGAGAGAGTCGGGGCCAGGAGATCCATCTGGTTGGTTCCAAAGCTGGTGTAACAGTCTGGGCAAGCGATGATGAAGGCCATTGACTAAAGTTGTGACCATGTGGGTAGGGAGAAGAGGTCAGAGGATGCAAGGGATGGAGGCAGAAATGCTAAGATCCAGCAGCAAACTGGAAAGTGGGGTGAAAGGGGGTGAAGAGTCAAGGGCAATGCAGGGACACCAGAAGAATGGTGGTACCTTCAACAGAAATAGGGATGTTAGAAAGAAAGCGAAGGTTTCAGAGACAAGACGAATCCCGTTTTGGACACATTGAGTTTAACCTGCCTCCTGGAACATCCAGCTTGAAATATCCAACAGGCAAGTGGAGGTATGGGACTGAAGCTGGGGACTGGACATGCAGAGCTGGGGGTTGTCCGAATAGAGACGAAGGTTAAACTGATGAAAGATGAGGAGATTGCTGAGAGTGTCTAGAGCAAGAAAAGAGGAGGCCCTAAGACAAAACCGTGGTACGGTTTAGGGGCGTGATATGGATAAGGAGTCAGCAATGGGGACTGAGAAGGAGTGGTCCCACAGATAGGAGAGAGGAATGTCATGAAGACCCAGAGAGGTGAGAGGACGCAGAGGAGAGACTGGTCAGTGGTATCAAATGCAGCTGAGAGGTCAGAAAGGATAGGATGGAGACAAGCCATGCCATGTGGACATTAAGAGACCACGGACAACTTTGGAGAGAGTAGTCTCAGTGGAATGACGGAGTCAGAAGCTAGACACCGATGAACAAATGAGAGGAAAGGAAGTGGGAAAACGGAATGTCAGAGCCCTCTTCCTGGGAGTCTGGATAAGAAAGGGAAGAGAAATAAGGATATCTATAGATATAGC